ATTAGATAAAATAATTATGACAATTTAAACGCACATGAAATTATTAAATAACTTTGAAAAGAAAACAATAACACAAACAAAAATTTAAAATTTCGTTAAGGATACCGTAAAGTAGTATATGAAGATACATAAATACTATGAATACATAATTTATATGATTGTAAATCCATAAGGAAATCATGCCATCAGATGACACGAATGACCTAATCAGCGTAGTGTTGGAATGGAATGTTTGTTTTGTTTTGTTTTTTTTCCTTTTTTTCTAGTATAGTGTATGTGTGAATTTAGTACTTATTGGTTTCGATCTTTAGAGATGGATTTTGAATTATTCATTTTATTGCCATTTTTTCTGTCATTTTAGCTCAACTGTCATTTTGATAACTTTCCAATACAACTTTCTACTGGACAGATTAGAAATATATTAAGATGGATGGATGGATAAACAGACGGCCTGACAGACGAATGAATTGATGGATGGAGGATGGGAAGGATGGGCGCTCGGAGATATATACATTCATACATACATACATGTATGCATGCATGCATGCATGCATGCATGCATACATACATACATACATACATACATACATACATACATACATACATACATACATACATACATACATACATACATACATACATACATACATACATACATACATACATACATACATACATACATACATACATACATACATACATACACACATACACACAGTTTCATTTCAGTTATAGGTTTAACAAGTTGGGTAAATGTGTTTACACCATGCGGTTATTACGGAGTATGCAATCATCAATGTTAATTTAGTGTTGTACAAACCAAGTTTTGTATATTATTTAACGAATTTGCGTCACACTACTTTTTAGAAGTGAAATATTGTATATATTGTGTTGAATACTGCATATAGTGAGTTAATTATTAAAAGTAAATTAAATAATAGCATGAACTTAGTAACGCTACTAAAATTAACTTTAATTATATTTGAATTTGGTGAGCTAAAATTTATTGTAATCATATTTGGGTTTGGTAAAATTGGATTTTCCTACTTTTGTAAATTGCTCCAAGTTTATTCCAATATTTGAACAAAGTGTTTCAGATAAATTTTCTTGGCATTACAATGAAGGAATAAATTGTCTCTATATATATAAACCTATTCAAATTTACTTTGGCGTCGATGGGGTTATTTCATCTTAATCATAAACATAGATCGGTCTTAACAAATCTCATAATATTGTCTCATAATATGAGAATGGAAACTGGAAAATATTGAAAGTAAAAATTGAAAAAAAAAAAGAACAATATTGTATATTATGTGACAACCATGGTGCTGACGATGAAGATCATGTTATTTTATTGTGCTCAGCATATAATTATGTTAGGTAAAATCTTAATTAAAAATTTACTTCTTGAATAAACCTTCCATGTATAAAATAAGTATATTCAATTGTTAACTTTTAGCAATAAGAAAACAATATGTTCACTAGCTACATTTTTAAATAAAGGTTGCACAATCATTTCTTAAAAAGTTTGGTTATATTTTCCCATCCTCTCGGTTTTGTTAGTGATCTTTTTAAATTTCTGTTATAAGTTTTAGTATGTCATCCGATAACTTCGCAATGTTTGTAGCATGAACTTTATAAACATTTCGTGCTGAAAGAATAATCGATTTGATTAAAAATTACGGTAACTGATGTACGACACAATTATTGTTCAAGTAATTTAATTTACGACTAAATTATATGTTTACGCGAAAAAAAATGATTAAAGTCAGAACTGACCAATCCGAAAAATGGATATTATTGTAATAAAATAGCTTCCTTATATATCGTTTCACACGTTGTTCGCCTTAACATCATTTTTCAGTACACGATACATGGCGGCCAGTATAAATGATGGAGGAAAAAACTGGGAAATCCCAGGAAAAAACCACCGACCCGCGAGAAGCTACTGGTAAGCTTTCTCACATATCTGCATTCGCCGAATCTTAGACTCGAACCCACGCAGACGGAGGGGAGATGGCAGTGATCCGTAACGGAGAGCGCTTTAGACCACTCGACCACTGGGAGCCCAAGTCTCTAACGTAGCTGCGGATAAAATTGTCGAGCTCTCTAGAGAAAATTTTGCATTGTTTGATAGATACATGCCACTTGGAGGCGTAAGGGTCGATTGCCTTTTACAGATCATCATGTGTGTCTGTTTAACTGAGCCATTTGAAAAGTTATACTGGTTAAATTTTGTGCATCTTACAAAAGTTGTTTATGTATCGATAAAATAAAAATAACTTGACACGAGCTCTATGTTGAATTTGTCTAATAAAACCCAGAAATGTAAGACAATCGACGTTTATTCCAAGCGACAGGACTCTTTGTTCTCGCACGAGTGACTTCTGAGCGCGATGACCGGTGACTTCTTTCGACTGACAACTTTCGACCGCAAACTGTAATGCTATTACGGCTATTACATATGCCGTCCTATAAAACGGTTCTACTTCTCATATTTTGTTTTTGACGACAAAACAACATAATCTAAATTAAAAGTTGCCATGTTTCTTGATTACATAACTCCAGTCACTCGCCTTTCGAATATGATCTATTCGACCCTCCTATCTATAATTTATATACATAATTAGGCTGAACACAACTGAAAAATCACGACGAAGTGCTCATAAACCGCAATGAACAATTGTAACATAATAAAACTAATCTTTTAAATCATTATAAATGTTCAGATATAACTCTAACTTGTTTGCGATTATTGCGTCATTTGCGAACTGTTACCACTCTGTCAAACAGCATTTTATTTATGTTATTCATATCACAAATGATAACACAAAACTTTGCGTTTAAGTAGCACAATATATATATATATATATATATATATATATATATATATATATATATATATATATATATATATATATATATATATATATATATATATATATATATATATATATATATATATGATTTATAGTGGTCTATTAATGCATAAAAAGGAAAATTTTAATTTGTCCACCATAAAAAGGAAGCAACTTTTGCGATAATTCTTTTTGTCACATATTTCTAGTTTTTTTCTGTTTTATATTATAAGCTGTATGTATTCGCTTATAAGTCGGGTCAAACTGCAAACAACAAAGATCATAATCTGCCGTAGCATAATGCATCTGCAGATCACGGTATATGTTGTTTGTTTTTACTGATTGTTACTAACAAATTGCACAGTTCCGGCGCATTATGCGACTGCAGATCTGGGTCAATACAGTTTATAGCTAGATTCTTTTTAAGCGAATACAGACGGTACAGCATCTGATCTTGTTAGGAGTACAACTGTTACTATCGATGTCAGAGTAGAACAAATTCAAATTCGAACCTAACACATGCACATAAACGATATTTTATGAGAATCTGGAAATGTACTCCAGTCATAATATTAGCATATGCACAACTGAAAAGTTGTCATGTTATTAAGTTATAAAAGATTTTATTCCTCGATCCTTTTACTTCAATAGAAACAGTAGCAGGACATAAACAGGATATTGAAGTTAAATCGCGATGTCGCCATAGAACTTTGCTTTGTTGCCAAGCTGCAGAGAAGGAAAATGAAACTTTTTTATGCAAAGAATCTTGCTTCCTGTGCATTTGTCATGGCTGTTGAATCTTCTACGGTTTTCGCAACGGACAGATTTTAAAAGGAAAGAATATATCGGGGGTTGATGTAAACTCCTGAAAACTTATGATCAATAAAAATAATTATCGGGGCGATTTTCATAACTTCAAAATTTGGGGTTGCAAATCAAACTCCAGCGACCTACCTTCGTGCCACGTGTTTCTCTTGCATATGGTCTCCTTACAAATAAACAAATAAATAAATAAACAAAACAAACAAATAAACAAATAAATAAACAAATAAATAAATAAATAAATAAATAAATAAATAAATAAATAAATAAATAAATAAAAAAGTATTAAGGAGATTTATTCAGTTGGTGTTCTCCTGAATTCTTCCACCACCATATATACTGACCGCCATGTATCGTCTGCTAAAAAATGGCAATAAGCAATACAAGGAATTGATTTCACATTTTACAGGATACAAGAAGCCATCACGCCTTGAAAATTGATCCCATACTGCACAAACCGCTGCATGCATTGTGTGATCAATTTTCAAGCTTCGTGACTTCTGAATCCTGTATGGATATTAAGAAAAATTATTACGTGATTTCTATAATCCTATCTACTTTCTAACTTCTATCACCTACGCAAAAATTGGAATAAAAGGTGGCCAGTTTTTTTTTTCATCTCCATACCCTGTAACTTAGTCGTAGATAATTAATATCACTGTCTTTTCTTATTTTTTCTAAAATCATTACCAGATTCAAGAATATATTTAAAAAGAAAATAATAACGAATTCTAAGAAATAAATAACAAAAATATATAGGATTTTGTTTTACAGATAATGTCACGGTACAGAAGAAGCACCCATTAATACATAAGTATTTTTTTTTTGGTGTTATAATAAACTAATAACCTCTAGCTTCCTCCATCATTTGGTACGATTTTCATATTGTACCAGTCTGCGCAACAAAATAAATATATATTTTCTCATTTGCTGACAACCGTGACAACAGCAATTACATCGACAATGATAACGACTATAAGAAACGATTATCAGAGCAGATTCACTAATGGGTGGAAGAAACATTTACTTTTCTCTATCTCTACATGTGAACCGTTCTTAACTTCAGAAAAAAACATACCGCATAAATATTAAAGGATTGAGAAGGTCCAACCGTTTCAGAACTAGTCATTGATAGCACCAAACTGACATAGAATTCGGTAACCAACTTAAATATATTATGTGGTTATCAAGTAACCCCTCTGCCCTAGAAAACAATTTACGTCTTTAATTACGCGCGATGCTCCGGTAAATCAGATATCATACTTAAAACGCTTGACTTTTCCTTATCTCATCATATATTACATTACCTATCCACAGACCGCTCAGGTGGCCTAGTGGTTAGAGCGTCTGCCGCGGGTGCGGGAGGTTGTGGATTCAAACCCCGACCTAGTCTTAAACAAGATTTATAAAAATTATACTAACATCTATCTTGCTAGGCGCTCAGCATTACTTTGCGTTAGCCTGGTGTGAGGATAATATAGCTGGGTGGGACATCTTGCTTCATGTCTACAGCATGATGCCCTAGTGCCAGATATCACTATAAACTGTCATACCGCAGACATCTTAGCGAAGTGACTGCAGTATATATCGTGTGCCTAACAAACTGATAAAATAGTCTTAAAATCAAAACAAATCCAACAAACTCAACCATCGATTTATTCTTTTGCATTGTTCATCTTGGTGAAATTGAGTAATATTCAACAATATTCCTTTCTTTTTACCTTTATCATTCATCTCATTTTAAATTCTAATTATATAGGAGGGTTTGTATACCTACCCGTAAGAAATAATTACTCTAAGTCCTCTGCGCAACCCATAAAACATACGGAAAAGTGAGGAGTTAGGATGGCATTCCAATAGTAATAGGATCGCACATCACTTTTGTACTTTCAACAACAGTATGGACGTACCCCCCCCTTAAAATGACAAACTTAATAATCAAACAAATAAATATGTGATTCGTTGTCTCATCACTCATTGTTTGACTAAAATATTTCAAAGTAATAATCTGAAAGAAGAAATGAAATTTAAAACCCAAATGCTGGAGAATTCGAATCCTTCCGTTCTGTTCCGATCCATTCAGTCCCATCAAGTTGAGCCCATGAAATATTTCGTTGCAGTTCATTAACTTTTGATGGACTGCGCCGAGCGATCTTTTCCTTTATCCTTATTTAAAACCTAGTCCTTTTTTTTATATAGAAATCGAAATTTCGAGCTTAAAATCTTTATAGACTTTTAAACACAAATAATTGCGATTTTAGGTATATGATTGACTTTTTAGTTATAACGTTTACATGGCCATTGAAGATTCGGTCCAAAAACATATGAATGTATTTAAGAAGTTTTTAAGTCTCTTTTTTTTAACTCACTTGTTCTTAACCCATGAGTCGCAACCAAAACCTAGGTCGCGGAGCTGTTTTGAGTGGGTCGCCAAGGTCAACTTTAAAAATTTGGAATTTTAAACGAAGTCCTTTTTAAGCATTTGATCGGTTGCGAAGCTAACACACAAACCTAACGGCAGAGAACCACTGCAAGGTTAGCTGAGCGACATCGTATTCTATGACCATATTTGTCATAAGTACTAATCTTTAGTTTCATCTCTAAATCTGTGCAAAGTACTTCTGAAAATCACGTCTTTTTTACTAACAGGTGCAAATGAACATTTTCTAATCAATTTATTTGCTTATTAACTGAATTGGCCCTGAGATATCCTGATGTATTCGCATCCGCCATTGGTATTCTACACAATTACGTACTTAGCTCAGTTTACCCAGGCCTTGCCATCCTACAACACGGTGCAAATAGAGGTTTTGAAAGTGCATACGGCTTTGAAAACGAAACATTGTTCGTCCTTACATTGCTTTCCATCGGTTGCAGCCCTTTCTATTCAACCTATAAACCGCATGAATATGCCATAGGCAGCCTTGCGGGTATGGTAACAAAACAACAAACGCAGATTTGGGATGCAAATTTTACCGCATCGAGTAGAACGGGGAAAGTTATCAACGCTGATAACGGTAATTAGCCGTATATACTGATGTTTTTGACAATATATATTAGACATTTCTGTCTACATCCTCAAAATACGGGCAGGAAACACCAAAGACGGAGAAAATCAATCTAAAAGCTGGAAATGGAACGCATAGCGTTTCTCGCTAAGAGTTCTTTCAGAACCAAAGTTATAATTATATGGGTGTTGATGGCTGATTGATACAATATGATGTTTCCTAACGTGTTACAAAGCAAGACACGCAGCATATGGGCGCTTTATTTATATTCAGAATGCTCTTGATGATGCACGTGCTTTCTAGTAAATATGAGTTTTTTGCGTGTTACACATGGCGACGACCTGAAACATGATATGAATAACTTGAAATTTGTTGTCAGACGTATTTTATCCAAAACCTAAAACTTTTATTGCATAACAGTTCACATATTTTATCATTTTAATTTTTTTTTATAATTTTTATTTTTTATTTTTATAAAACAACTTTTTTTATTCTTGTGCAAATTTAATGATGTTATCATGTGTTTCTTATTTTTTCCAAAAACAAACTGACAAAAAGATCTGGCTTTCAGTTAACCATGTTCGTATATATCTAATCAGAGCCAGCCTTAGGTCGATTGTATCCATTTGGCATATATCAATAGAGAGAAAGTAATTTTAAATCGATCGATGAACATATTACGTTCAGTATCATATAAAACTTGTAAAAGAAGAGTTTATTTCCAAATGCCGTACTTACAGGATGGGTGGGGTGGGGCATGATCCTAACATGATCCAAAATCGGACCGCGCATTTGCTTAAGCCGTTCCTTATCTAATCACATATTTGACTACTGAAACAATTTTCTCTGAGCACTTCTGTTTCTGCTCGACTGTAACATTATTTATATTCTTTCCTAGATAACGCCTCATTGGGGTTTCTTTGGAATCAAGGGCATGCCAGTGTTCTTCATTAATTCTGCCAACTAGAAAGAAGTGGACTTGAAAGTTAAGATAATTGAATATGGTTAATATTTTGCTTGTGTTGTACTAAAAAATGTCGCGATTTCCATAACTGGTATGTCATAGTTTTTGCTTCACTAGATATTTCTTTTTTTTTTCAGGGCACATCCTTCTCACCAGTTGTGCCTGGCTAAAGAAATTTTTCGAATGTTTTAGGGTGGCAACTGTAGGGGAGCAGGTTTGATGTTTGATGGTTCTGAGTATATGTCAGTGTGATTCCAAAATCACGTGTGGTATGTATTTTATTTTCTGTTGTCACGAACATGATCGAATAATTAATTCAGTTTGCTTTAATATTAATAAAATTGTCTAGATTCTCCTTCCCATTTTGTTTCTTCATGAGGTAGAGAAACTATAAGTCTGACTTTCAGTTTGTACATAAAAATATTTGCATTCGATGGGGCTATCTTTTTGCCATCACACTATAGTTAACATTACAGCTTGTGCTCACCAGTAAATTCGAAATCATCAAGTTTTGGTATATTTCCAAAAATAGAACATTGGTGGTTTCTTTACTGGTCTTCTTTATTTCTTGCATGCTTCTATTATATCTTATTGTGAGATATTGTAGGAAAACGGAGGAGGTTGCAGCCATTAATACAATTTGATTATTGGGACCGCTCTGGTGGCCCAAGTGGTCAGAGCGCCCGATTCGGATACGAGAGGTTGCCGATTCGAGCTGTGGCCGAGTCATTCCAAAGACTTGGTGCCAGCAGCTTCATCGCTTTGTGCTCAGTATTAAGATGTTAGTATTAGGACTGGTCGGTCTGGTGTTAAGCTTATGTGACTGGGTGGAACATGATACCACCTGTCTGCGGCACGGTGCCTCCGTACTAGACATCACTATTACTTGCCACACGGCTGATATCGAAGTGATGTCGCTGAAAAATTGTTAAGGTAACGTTAAAAGTCCAAATCACACACAATCTGAGCGTAGGTGATAACAGTACACTGTTTTTACTCCTAACCAGGAAATCGGCAGTGTCTTTAAGATAAGCGGAGAGTATTAACATATGATAGCTGTAGTATTCGTGCATATTTTTTTTTTCCTTCAGTGACCAGTTGAGGAAATTATTGGTTTTCCACAATTACCAGGTTTCCGTATCTTGGGAAGAAGGTAAAATCAATTTCTCTTGGATTCTCGGAATATGGTGTTTGATTATTTTCATCTAGGTATCACGCTTCAAACATTTCATTTATAACAGCCAGGACCACCTATTGCATGTTCTTTGATTGGGGCATAGTTCAGCTCTTTGTCAAATTTTTTACCACTCAGTGCAGTTCGGCCTTGCTTTATAATCAATTTTTTTTTCCCATTATGACGACCGCGCAAAGCCCATATTTGAAGATGTCTGTTTCTAATAATTGTAGGCTAGAGAACTTGATCATTTTACTTGGGAGACAGATTCAGTCGAGGTGAAATGCACAAATTTCCGAAGAGTGCCTTGTAAAGCCTGCAACATACCTTCGTAGGCTAAAGGAATTAGTGGTGGAGTGCTGGAAGGTCTGTGTATTGCACTATTGGTATATCAAAATGTTATCCGCCCTTGGCGTAATAATATGCATATATAAACATTGTAGCTAACGTCTGCAGTTGATTCTAGATTGATTTTGATGAATTTCCAATTAATTATTTGTGGTGTACTAAAATGACCATAACATTATTAATATTCTTCGTCTCCTAAATGAATTTAATATGGTACTCATTATCATCACAACCATTTCTGATTTCTGTTGCCCCCTTCCATCTCATGCATAACAGACAAACTACGCAGAAGTGTGTGGGGAGAGAGAGAGAGAGAGAGAGAGAGAGAGAGAGAGAGAGAGAGAGAGAGAGAGAGAGAGAGAGAGAGAGAGAGAGAGAGAGAGAGAGAGAGAGAGAGAGAGAGAGTAAAGGATGTTGGACTGATTAAAATCTTGAAATGAAAGTTACACCGAGCAACCTACAAGAATATGGTTCGTCGTAACGATACGTGTGCACTTTCCTTGGGATTTATCGAGTGATTATCAATAATACAAAGTTAAAAACCATATCGACATTATACAACAATTACAATTTTTATGAATGAAACGCGTTTTCTGTAATTTGATTGGATGTAAACTGTCACGTGATAATGAACTGGAATTATTTACCCACTGATACATTCTGAGGACTACTTTCCTGTCTCCACGCCATTTGATGTTAAGTTTTACCTATATCAATCCATTACACCCTAAAAAGACAATAAAAATTCATCCACCCACTCCTGTGTTTTCCATCAAAATTTACAAACCACAGATAAATTTGGACCATTATTAGTTATAATAATGTAACTGCACAGACCTTCCTGCTCTCCACCAATAATTAATTTTGCCTACGAAAGCATGTGGTAGGCTTTCCAAGCCACCTTT